GGGCGGCGCGGGCGCGTGGGCGAGGCGGATGGGCGAGAGAGGGGAGGAGGAGGAGGAGGAGGAGGAGGAGGAGGAGGAGGAGGAGGAGGAGGAGGAGGAGGAGGAGGAGGAGGAGGAGGAGTAGGAGGAGTAGGAGGAGGAGTAGGAGGAGGAGGAGGAGGAGGAGGAGGAGGAGAGGAGGAGGAGGAGGAGGATGAGGATGAGATGAGGATGAGGATGAGGAGAGGAATGCGATGAGGGAGGAGGAGGAGGAGGAGGAGGAGGAGGAGGGAGGGGGAGGGGGAGGGGAGGAGGAGGAGGAGGAGGAGAGGAGGAGGAGGAGGAGGAGGAGGAGGAGGAGGAGGAGGAGGAGGAGGAGGGGAGGAGGAGGAGGAGGAGGAGGAGGGAGGCGGAGGAGAGGGGGGGTGCGACACGGAGGCGGGGCACGAATGGGGCAGGAAGGCCAAACGAAGAGTCGAGGAAGGGGGCAGGGGGCGGAGATGGAGGGACGAGGGAGGGTGAGAGGGAGTGGCATGGACGGGGGACGGATGAAGGCAGGAGGCGGGGACGAGTGAAGAATCGAGGGGGGGGCGGAGCGAACGATCGACCCTCCGCGCACACACCGCGCCCCCTGCCGAACAGAAGAAGACGGGTGCGCGGCTCATCTCATGAGATGAGCCGCGCACGCCTGATAGAGAAAGACTGGTCTCTGAGAAGGGCGCCCGCTGGACCAGGGCGCAGCAGCGGACGCAGGAGGAAGCTGCGTGGTCCCCCGTGCGCGCCGGAAGGCTCGGCTAAGCCCGACTATCCACGGGAATACCAGCGCTGGGTGGCAGCCGCGGGAGTGCCGCTCCGAGGAAAGCGGCACTCCGCGTCGGAAGGGGAGGAAAAAAATGGAAAAAGCAACGCGGACGCAGCACGAAAGGAGGCAGGAAACAGACGCGCGAATGAAGGATCGAGGATGCGGGGGCGGGCGGACGGCGGCGATGGAAAAGGAGGGGGAGGAGAGGAAGCAGCATGGCCGGAGGTGGGGAAACCAATCGGTACCAATACCGCTGCTCCCCGGACCTCTCCCGGGGTGCGTTCTGACCAGACTTGCGAGGCGAATCCAGCCGTGGCGACGACGAGGGGCCATCTCTTGGGGAAACCGAGGGAATGGTGGCGTCATGAGCGCCTGAGCGTCCCACGAAACATGGACGAGGGACGGAGGGAGGCAGGAGCAGGACGAGTGAAGAATCGAGGAGCCGAGGCTCTCCTCCCTCTCCTCCTCCCTCTCCTCCTCCCTCCTCCTCCTCCTCCTCCTCCTCCTCCTCCTCCTCCTCCTCCTCCTCCTCCTCCTCCTCCTCCTCCTCCTCCTCCTCCTCCTCCTCCTCTTCTCATCCCTCCCTCCTCCCTCCTCCTCCTCCTCACTCCTCCTCATCATCATCATCATCAGCATCATCAGCCTCATCAGCATCAACACATAAACATCATCATCATCATCATCATCATCATCCATCATCAGCATCGTCATCATCATCATCATTTCATCATCATCTCATCATCATATCATCATCATCTCATCATCATCATCATCACATCATCATCATCATCATATCCAGCATCATCATCAAATCATCAGCATCAGCATCACCACGATCATCATCATAATCATCATCATCAATCATCATCATCATCACCAACCACCACCACCACCACCACCATCATCATCATCATCATCATCATCATCATCATCATCGTCGTCGTCATCATCATCATCATCATCATCATCATCATCATCATCAGCATCAGCATCATCATCATCATCATCATCATCATCATCATCATCATCATCATCATCATCATCATCATCATCATCCTACTCCTCCTCATCCAACTTTTCCACGCCCTCGTCCTGCTCCTCCTTCTCCTCCTCCTCTTTCCTCCCCCTCCTCCTAGTCCTCCTCCTCCTCCTCCTCAGCCATTTCGCGCCCGAGCGGCCCCCCCTGCACGGGGCGCGCAAGGGTGTTTCGCGGGCCAACTTCGAAATGTCACTGCTCTTGAGAGCCGACATCGAGAGGCGTGGCGCCCCACGTCATCAGCCACAATGCTGAGATCAGGCGCGAGCGCACCCGCCAGGAGACTGGGCTTCCTCCGCCCTCCCTTCCTTTCCCTCGTCGTCCTCTTGCTCCTCCTTCCCCTTCCCCTCGTCAGTCTGGTGAGCTGCAGCGCCGGCCATCCGAGCGCCAGGGCGGAAGTGCAGGCAAGACATGGGCTTGATCAGCTACAGTGTAGGGATCAGGCCGTGCGAGAAGGCAAGCAGTGGCAGTTGGCGCTGGCGCTGCGAAGAAACTGCGGGTGGGCCACGATCAGCAGGACCGCTGGGAGCAGCCCGTGGGAGAAAGGGGGCAAGCAGTGGCAGCCGACGCTGGCGCTGCGAGAAAAGTGCGGGTGGGCCACGATCAGCAACAACGCTGGGAGCAGCCCGTGCGAGCAAGAAGGCAGGCAGTGGCAGCAGGCGCTGGCACTGTGTCCAGGTGAA